TGAACCCCTTTCTATGCCTTGCATATTTTTTTCTTTTTTTATCCGCTTTGAACCAATGAAAACAAAATGATCCACGGCTGGAAAAGTATTATAGTTGTCAAACTTCAAGGCTGATGATTACTTTTACCGCTGCTGATGACGTGGAGATAAATTAGGTTCTTGGCGATGATGTGAGCTCAAGATAAATGAAATTAATGCGCAGTGAAAATTATGTTATTGAAGTTTATGTGCAGAAAGTCGAATACACAAAATTGGACAAAGTTTGTTCGGCCAATAACTAAACTGATTAATAATAAAAAATGCTCTCAAAGGACAACAAGTAAAGGTAGAAAGAGTGTTGGATGAAAAAAAAAGAATGCTAACTGTGTTTATCTTTTTCCAGCTTATTAAGGCGTTGATTGAGTTTTGCTCTGACTTCAGCTCTACTTGCGATTCTTGCAAGGAGGAGATCGCGAAAATTTCACTTGATTCACGATATTTTTGTACTGCTTGAGAACAATTTGTTTCACCTCTCAAGCAAGGCTTAGCACAAATCTGCGAAAGAGAGATTCTTGCCTAGTAAACTTCATTCACAACGTCTGAGCTGACTTAAATCTCCACAAAGAAGTCCGCGAGCTCACGTCAATTGACGTTCAATTCTAAAAATTTTTTCTTCTTATTTATTCTTCTTTGCTGCAAATTTGAGCAAATAACAGGGGCATGCTCCTTATGCGTGTATGGATGCAGCAATTCACTGACGGCTCCCAAAGGTACATGCCCGTGTCGCGCGCGCCGGTGGCGATTGGTTTGCGATGGCGGTGATGAATGACGAGACACTGAGCACCGAGTCATTCCCCGGATGTCGCAAGCCTGCGAGCACTCCCACTCCTCCTCCTGCACCTTCATTGTCTCTCCTAGCTTCGCTTCCGATGTGCCCACCTCAAGAGGAAGGCCGAGTCCTCGTTATTCAACACGAAACATGCTTTATATTAAATAACGAACACCTCGCAACACTCGCATTTACAGTAAGAGAGTTGGGTATGGTGATTGCACCGGAAATTAACCCAATGCTTGGAACAGAAGCTTTGTCAACGAGAGCTTGCCGAAATTGAGAGAATACAGCATTTAGAAGGGAGCAGCACTTACTACATTAGCCTTCGTGATGCTTTTGCAGAGAACATCCGCAGTCTTTGAGGATTTAACATTTTCGATGGTTATGCTTTCAAAATCGCTGTGAACTTGAACTTCTCGCTTTGCTATGAGATAACTCACTCCAAACATGATTCTGCGAGGATTTGTGAAATTGCGCGAGCGACGGTCAATAGAGATAGTACGAGAATTAATGTGATATTGCATTTTAATTATATGCAAAGTACAAAGTAAGGCTTTTCTCCACATTAGAAATCGTTAATAATTGCAGATCGGGTCTAAGGGACAAATAGCACACAATATAGTCAGCTGCAATCAGTCCGACGAATAGCTCCAAAGACTTTTAGAGGTGCCTTTCTGTCATTTCCACTCTAGAACGAAGCTCAAAACTCAGCCATGAAGGACCGCTATTTGAAATTTTTCGAGAAAATTGGTTACTCGTACCA